ATATGTTGAAACAGTTTTGGATGAGGTGAACAAACTTTTGACCAACACAAGACAGAACGCGAGTCAATGGGTATAAATTGGATGTGAAAGGGAAGAATGGAAGTAACTGCAAAGGGCCTATTGGCCTATACTTCCTCTTGATGCTTCTATATTGGTACGGAGTCTTGAAATATATATATATATATATATATATATATATATATATATATATATACATACACAAAACTTGCCTCGTAAAGATGAAGTTATTTGTTGACAAAGACGTGGAGCAGTATAGTGATATCATATTAATGAGCTGCATGTCTGCTGTGAGACCTACCTCGCCCCCCCGAACCCACCCAGTCGGTCTAGCCCGCCCTCAGCCTGGGTCAGCTGAGGGCGGGCCAAATATCCTCTCCCTTGCCCACCCCGTGGTCCAAGTCTGGCCCACCCTGCCTCGCTTGCCCACCCCGTGGTCCAGGTCTGGCCCACCTCGCCTCTCTCGAAGCCCCTTAAGAACCACAGTGCCAGGAGCCAATGTGTCAGGAACCAGAGTGCCTAGAGTCAGTGTGCAAAGGTGTCAGAGTGTGAGGAGCCAGAGTGCCAGGAGCCTGAATGGTAGAGTACCAATAGTCAGAGTGCCGCTTGGAGTACTGCATCATACCTTCTTACCAGCTTGAAAGCATTTTTGAATTCCACTTTGATCAGAGCCTTTTCTTACGTAACGTTGGTAATGAAGCCTGTAGCTGCACGAGCCGCTGCCTCAAATCCTTGGGGAATGCCAACCAACCCCCCCGAGCTGTTTTGGCTTTCAGCATGTCTGTTGCTGCCTGGCTAACTGTTCTAGCAGCAGCGTTAGCGACGAGGCGCCGGAGTGAATTGCCCACAGCTATTGGTCTGATTCCGCCATCCTCTTTCCTTCAGGGCACAGAGGAATGCACCGACAATGAAGCACTTGCACATGTCTTAAAGACCACTGCGAGTGAGACATGTCATGGAGCCTGCATATCCCACCACCCATCAATATTGCTGGGAGTAAAAGGGGTCATCTTCACGGCGCCAATCACCTCTGGAGACGATGCTCGGCGTCTCCCGCTTCCTTGTCTGGTGTTAGGTAACAACTCTCCTCCTTTCACTAGTCTGTATTCGGCTTAATGTGACGTCATGACCTCATTGCAAACAATTGGAGGGTTAATGGAAGCCAGGCATCGTTAATTGGTTGGCTTGCAGTGACCGCTTGGAGGAGGCGCGGGACAAGGTAGTTTATCATAGTATACCCTCTTGCATGGTGCATGTTAGATGGGGAGACTATTATAAACCCTCGCTTTGTATTCGTCTCGTCAAGCCCCAGTTGTGGTGAGCGTACAAGGCAGCAGCAGCAGGACATTATACAATTATTATTTGCGTTCCCATTCCTTTCGGCAAAATTAATTATATACGTATGTTTTTATAGGAGTTGTTGTTGTTTTAGATTCAGCTACTTGGAATAAAAAAAGTTGTTCCAAGTAGCACGAGCTATGGTGAGTCCGTAGCACTCTAAGGGTTTGTTGACTTCTCTGCAAAGCTGATGATGGTATAGGTGCTTGCCAAACCACCTTCCACGAACAAACAGATTTATATGTCTGGCCTTGAATGTCAGGAAGCAAATATGTAAATTATATAAATTCGCTGCACTGTTAATGAAGATAACCGGTATCGTCCAACAGACATGGACAATTAGGGCTAATACCCCAGTTAATAGTAAATATACACTTACGTATTTCTGCGGCGTTGCTCCTCTTATAACCGGATTAAGAGATTAAATGATAAACTGGTCATTAGGCCTGCTACATGTACCTCTAGGCTGGAACCCGTTCTCACAATTTCGTATAGTCAATATTGACTTATTAAAAACGTGCATATGTGACATACTAAACATACTAGTTTACCTTGAAAAGCTTCATAGAAAACACCGACCTTACCTAACCTTCTTAGTATGTTAAGATAAGCATCTTATTGCTTCGTAATTACAATTATCACTTATCCTATTATAGGTATAGGTTAAGTAATAATTGTAATTACGAAGCAATAAGATGCTTATCTTAACATACTAAGAAGGTTAGGTAAGGTCGGTGTTTTCTATGAAGCTTTTCAAGGTAAACTAGAATGTTTAGTATGTCACATATGCACATATTTAATAAGTCAATATTGAATGTAAGAAAGTACGAGAACGGGTTGAAGGCTGGAGCATTTTAAGGTGATAGATCAGAAACTCAAGAACTCATACAGACACGAAGTCACAATACAGTGGCTGGAACTTTAAAAAAAAAAATGAAAATAACAAAAATCGACGTTTGGTCCATCGTGGACCATTATCAACTCTCTAAAACACCTTTAACCCAGCGAGTGTGTGTTTTACAAAGGGGTTGAAGCAGTTTCCAATCGCCGGCGTGACTGTTTTTACGAAATCAATCAGTTATCACACTATCCTTAACCAGCTTTGCTATTGTTAGATTTTTAATGTTAAGTTAGGTTACCTTAATACAGTGTATTAGTCTCAAACACGTGAAACATGAAATTCGAAAACTATTTAAGTATCCCCTAGAATTTCATATACAGACAACCAAATTGTTCAGGCTATTTCATAGAAATAAGTTAAACATCGACTTTCTGTATTTTACCTAACAATTTATAATACAATAAAGTTATAACCTGAGAATACTCTCTGTTTAGGACAAATATTCACTCGCCAGATTATAAGTAGACTATTATTGGAACCGTAATATGCTTTTAGACCATCACAAATATCTAGATAAATATCCAAGTGTTTAACCAGGGCGGCTGACCGGTCATTAGAATTACTTTACCCTGAACATGGCCAGTTTTCTTTGAAACAACATGAACAATTTGGTTTTCTGTATATGAAATTCTAGGGGATACTTAAATAGTGTATCCCTCTAATATTACTATTCTCACGCGGCGCGGGGAAAGCTTTTGCCTACGGAGCGGTCGGCCGAGCGGACAGCACGCTGTACTTGTGATCCTGTGGTCCTGGGTTCGATCCCAGGCGCCGGGGAGAAACAATGGGCAGAGTTTCTTTCACCCTATGCCCCTGTTACCTTGCAGTAAAATAGATTCCTGGGTGTTAGTCAGCTGTCACGGGCTGCTTCCTGGGGGTGGAGGCCTGGTCGAGGACCGGGCCGCGGGGACACTAAAAAAAAAACCCAAAATCTTCTCAAGATAACCTCAAGATAACGTATCCCCTCAAAGGGTTGCCAGGAATGAACTTCTCTTGTTTCAATGCACCATATTTACGACTCCCGGTTTCATCTTGATGATAGACAGAAGTCCGTAGGACGCCACGAACTACACTTCGCGTGCTGTTAATATTGTGATCCACGGGAGTTGGGCATTTTATGATACTAATTAATCTATGAAAAGGTGAATTATGTTTCATATTATCATTTAATCCCAGATGCACCTCCAGGATCCCTTGTATGTCTCTCTCAGGGCACAAGTGTGGACTGGGGTTAACACACACACACACACACACACACACACACACACACACACACACACACACACACACAGTTTCAAATGTAGATATGATAGAGCCCAGTAGGCTCAGGAATCTGTACATCAGTTGATTGACGGTTGAGAGGCGGGACCAAAGAACTCAACCCCCGCAACCCCAACTAGGTGAGTACAACAAGGTGAGAACACACACAGGAAAAGTGACAGGAAAACTAGGAAGGGAGAGATGTAGTGTCTGTGCGGGTGAAAAACAATTGAAGGTAAGAAAGTTAAACATTCCAAACCCCCGAGAAGTTGACTACAAAGAACCTTCCATCAAACCCGATAGATTACACCCAAATTTTCCGCAAGGGGTCATTCGTTGCTGTGTGTATCTGGTATAGCATCTATAGTGACCTTTGAGAAGCAGCGACGAGGCTCCTGGACGTCCGTGGGTTGCTTTGGGACCTTCTGGGAAGAGAACCCGGTGGTGGAGTCGCCAGAAGGTAGCCTAAGGCTTCCTTCGGGGAACTCTGGCTCGCCTTCTGCCGCTGTCATCGCTATTTTGGGTCAGTGGGTCTTGGCGTGTGAGTCTGGGAATGTTGTGATATATGTGGCTGTGGTGTCGCCATAATTGTGTTAGCAGGATCGGGTGCTCTAGCGCCTGGGCCTCCGCCTTTTTCAGGGATCAGGACAGAGCGAAATATCGCTGCTTCCAGTTCATACGTGTAGGTTGTGTGTGTAATATGTCAGGTAAGTTACTGGTCTCATACTGAACATGTTCCTGTCTCTGCTGCCGCTGCCACACCCTGTATCACAGGAGCCAGGGTGTGGCACTGATGCCCTGGGATGTGGCACTGTTGAGATGCCCTGGGATGTGGCACTGTTGAGATGCCCTGCGGTGTGGCACTTCCTGTCCTGTACCCTCTTGCCACACTGGCATTCCACTGGTGCATATGGCTTGCTTCAGCAGAAACTGATCATCTAATAATACATTATCACTCTCATGTGTATGATAATACATATCACTCCCGTATGTATGAATATACATATCACTCATGTATGTATGATATGCACGAGAATATGTCAATAGGAAGTAAGAAAGTGTGACTAGAGCCCTTCTATAGCCTTGAGACTCCATGGGGGCCCCAAGAACCACTAGCCACCATGGGGGCCCCAAGAACCACTAGCCACCATGGGGGCCCCAAGAACCACTAGCCACCATGGGCCCCCAAGAACCACTAGCCTCCATGGGCCCCCATGAACCACTAGCCACCATGGGGGCCCCCCAAGAACCACTAGCCTCCATGGGCCCCCATGAACCACCACCCTCCAAGGGGGCCCTCAGATAGCCATCATTGGGGCCCTCACGACCACTCTCACGTCTCACCTCCGGGCCCCAGTTCAAGGTGTGCTGTTAGTGAATGAGAACTGATCGCTCGTTTTAAGAATTATACTCTAATTACCGGCTCTAATTGGGCCAATTATAATTCCCAGTCATTCCTCACGTTAGACCTCGAGTATAACAACTAGATGAAGCACCTGGGCTTTGTCCACTCTTTGACTGTTGGAGCGAGGTTGTTGACTGTTGGAGTGAGGTTGTTGACTGTTGGAGCGGGGTTGTTGACTGTTGGAGCGAGTGTTGTTGACTGTTGGAGCGGGGTTGTTGACTGTTGGAGCGAGTGTTGTTGACTGTTGGAGCGGGGTTGTTGACTGTTGGAGCGGGGTTGTTGACTGTTGGAGTGAGGTTGTTGACTGTTGGAGCGGGGTTGTTGACTGTTGGAGCGGGGTTGTTGACTGTTGGAGCGGGGTTGTTGACTGTTGGAGTGAGGTTGTTGACTGTTGGAGCGGGGTTGTTGACTGTTGGAGCGGGGTTGTTGACTGTTGGAGCGGGGTTGTTGACTGTTGGAGCGGGGTTGTTGACTGTTGGAGCGGGGTTGTTGACTGTTGGAGCGAGTGTTGTTGACTGTTGGAGCGAGTGTTGACTGTTGGAGCGAGTGTTGACTGTTGGAGCGAGTGTTGACTGTTGGAGCGAGTGTTGACTGTTGGAGCGAGTGTTGACTGTTGGAGCGAGTGTTGACTGTTGGAGCGGGGTTGTTGACTGTTGGAGCGGGGTTGTTGACTGTTGGAGCGGGGTTGTTGACTGTTGGAGCGGGGTTGTTGACTGTTGGAGCGGGGTTGTTGACTGTTGGAGCGGGGTTGTTGACTGTTGGAGCGGGGTTGTTGACTGTTGGAGCGGGGTTGTTGACTGTTGGAGCGGGGTTGTTGACTGTTGGAGCGGGGTTGTTGACTGTTGGAGCGGGGTTGTTGACTGTTGGAGCGGGGTTGTTGACTGTTGGAGCGAGTGTTGACTGTTGGAGCGGGGTTGTTGACTGTTGGAGCGAGTGTTGTTGACTGTTGGAGCGAGTGTTGTTGACTGTTGGAGCGAGTGTTGACTGTTGGAGCGAGTGTTGACTGTTGGAGCGGGGTTGTTGACTGTTGGAGCGAGTGTTGACTGTTGGAGCGGGGTTGTTGACTGTTGGAGTGAGTGTTGTTGACTGTTGGAGTGAGGTTGTTGACTGTTGGAGTGAGGTTGTTGACTGTTGGAGCGGGGTTGTTGACTGTTGGAGCGGGGTTGTTGACTGTTGGAGCGGGGTTGTTGACTGTTGGAGCGAGTATTGTTGACTGTTGGAGCGAGTGTTGACTGTTGGAGCGGGGTTGTTGACTGTTGGAGCGGGGTTGTTGACTGTTGGAGCGGGGTTGTTGACTGTTGGAGCGGGGTTGTTGACTGTTGGAGCGAGTGTTGTTGACTGTTGGAGCGAGGTTGTTGACTGTTGGAGTGAGGTTGTTGACTGTTGGAGCGGGGTTGTTGACTGTTGGAGCGAGTGTTGTTGACTGTTGGAGCGAGTGTTGTTGACTGTTGGAGCGAGTGTTGTTGACTGTTGGAGCGGGGTTGTTGACTGTTGGAGCGAGTGTTGTTGACTGTTGGAGCGAGTGTTGTTGACTGTTGGAGCGAGTGTTGTTGACTGTTGGAGCGGGGTTGTTGACTGTTGGAGCGAGTGTTGTTGACTGTTGGAGCGGGGTTGTTGACTGTTGGAGCGAGTGTTGTTGACTGTTGGAGCGGGGTTGTTGACTGTTGGAGCGGGGTTGTTGACTGTTGGAGTGAGGTTGTTGACTGTTGGAGCGGGGTTGTTGACTGTTGGAGCGAGTGTTGTTGACTGTTGGAGCGGGGTTGTTGACTGTTGGAGCGAGTGTTGTTGACTGTTGGAGCGAGTGTTGTTGACTGTTGGAGCGAGGTTGTTGACTGTTGGAGTGAGGTTGTTGACTGTTGGAGTGAGGTTGTTGACTGTTGGAGTGAGGTTGTTGACTGTTGGAGTGAGGTTGTTGACTGTTGGAGCGGGGTTGTTGACTGTTGCTAATGACAAACACACTTTGATGAAATCAGACCCTAAGGACGAGTTAGAAATGAAACACCTGAGCCCCGGTGCAGCCATAATAGGGCTCCACGGTCATGCATAAATCAGGCGAACTTCTGCGGCCCAGCGCCTCGACCGACCCCCCCGGCGCAAGGCTGTGTCTAAAGGAGTCCTCGACGCTGGTGTTGAAATGTCTTCCTCGTCTCTTCCCTGAAACTCTAAATTGAAGTGTATGTATATGTATACGTACATAAGGGAGTATATACACACATGTATAAGTATTGCATTCTTTCACTCGTACAGTCTCCGTGGTTTAGTGGTGAGCGTTCTGGGGGGAGGGAGGGGGGGGGGGGGGGGGGAGAGAGAGAGAGAGAGAGAGAGAGAGAGAGAGAGAGAGAGAGAGAGAGAGAGAGAGAGAGAGAGAGAGAGAGAGAGAGAGAGAGAGAGAGAGAGAGAGAGACATGCCATCCGCCCACCTCCCAGTCTTGTGTGATTTCCGTTGGCTTGAACTCTCTTGCGTTGGTGAGTCAGGTTGTGCTGTCTCACAGGAGACCATACTGCTGGTGTTGTGTTATCAGGTCCCTCCTCTCTACATGTTCTACCAGATACTCTCTTACCATCACCTGGCATGACATGGAAGTGACAAAGGCCTCTGCTTTAATGCCTCCATTCTGTTTACCTTTTAGTATATTGACACTACAACTTTAATATATTGTCTTCCAACTGTCTGGTAGTTCTTCTCTTTCCAGTGTCTTGTTATATATCATCGTCAGCGGCCAGCACAAGGCTTTCGTCCCTTCTCTCAGTATCCATGTTGATATCAGAGCTGCTCTCACAACCTTAGTCGGGTTCAGCTCCAGCTGGTGGCTTCTGACTTCGTCTTTGGTTACCTCAAAGTTCTCCAGTGCTGCTGGGTTTGATTCCGGCTCCGTCAACTCAGGAACTTCTTCCAGGTCTATTGTGAATACCTGGAATATCCTGCTACGATCTTCACACACACTTCTCTGTCGTTCTCAGTTAATGAATCCTCTTCTATCCTCAGTCTTATTACTTGTTCCTTTACTGTTGTTTCCTCGTTAGTGTGACTGTGAAGCAATTTGCGTTGTACTTGTAGTTACAATGTCGCGCTTACAAATGGCTTTTCTGCCTTCGCTCTCACTGTCATACACACATTCCTATCTCTCTGGTGCTCTTCTTAGCTATTTCTCCCTCTTTTGGTGAGATGGGAAGGTTGACCACGTCCTCGTGCCTATACGCTGTGCTGCCTTAACTCCTTAGTTCAACTATGAATGGGTCCGGAGCCACTTAGACTGCGACAAATATGCCAGCTGCCTCTCAGTGTTCCTCGTTGAAGAAGGCCGCCATGTTTTCTTGTGAGGAGTTCCTTCTGTGTCGTCCATAGTCTCTTGTGACACAAGGTCCTTCATCTCTTCCTAGCACTTTCCCTGAAGAGGGAAAGGCTTCACTGGAAGCCTTTTCCTTGTGGAAGTAAGGCTTTCCTGGAAGTCTTACTTCCACAAGATACCCAAATGCCATTAAGCCAACCCATCCTCCTGAAATGGCACTCTTAAGTCACCAGACTTATACTTGTATAGTGACAATATTAAGTCTCAAGACTTATACTTGTATAGTGACAATATTAAGTCTCAAGACTTATACTTGTATAGTGACAGTTCATTAAAGTTCACCTTTATCTTTACGGTTTAAATTTGATTGAATAATCTTGAGGTTATTTGAACAATGTCTTCTTGCTGTTTACAGAGAGAAAACGTATATAATCCCTAGTTTCCCGTTGTTAGACAACAGGAACAGCCTGTTACGACCATAGTGATTCCCCTTAGCCAACTATGGAGCTTTTCCACCATGGAACCCTCAACAGTTGCCGAACTCTATTTACTTCTAGACGCATCAGATGAAAGGAAACCTTGCCCTAAACGCAACGACTCCCTCCCGCCAGAAGGATTCGAACCCGAGATGGTTGAGATCCGACTTCACTGGCAACCGTCGGTAAAGACATGAAGGCTAATTTATCAAACATTTTTTTTCCCAGCTAAGAGAGAGCTAGTATTATTATTACAATGTGTGGGCCAGTGTGGCGGCGACGCGTGTGTGGTGGTATATTAAACTATGATGTCGGTAGTATTGTTAGTGTGGTGAATAAACAGCAGTGTGAGTAGTGGCTGTCTTAGTTGTTTTGCAAGAATAATCTAATCAACACATTGTGCTTTATATATATATATATATATATATATATATATATATATATATATATATATATATATATATATATATATGTTCCGAATATGTCTTTTATATTTTAAACCAACGTTTTATAATACAATAAAATGATAAATTGAGAATATATAAGGGGCTGCCAGTTTCTTAGTTCAACGCCTCAGTGTGGCGATCCAGAGGGGAAACTCCTGCTGCGTCCTCCGTTCCTGTCCGGAAGCGGAGGAACTCCAGGGGCTCCATAACTTTTAAAACCTATTGCATTCCACTGTATATCTAGTAACTTTTAAATATCTTATAAAGCACAAGACAAGACAAAAGGAAGGAGGGTGGGAGGAGAAAAACACACAGAAACTGTATTGGAGGGAACCTAAACATTCCCTCATATATGTATTTAATATGTGTGTTTATGCGTATATATATAAATAAAATAAATACATCATTTTCCAGAGCTCAAACTAAGTATTGTATGATAAATGTGACATCAAGATATACTCGCGTATACCCCCCCCCCATCTCACACGCATATATTTACGAGGGAGTGAGTAATGAATATGTGCTAATCGTAGTTCATCACATGATATTAAATCCTTGTGCTATTAATTTATATCTCCTGATGTTACAGTCATCGCTATGGCTCGTTGGTGCCGAGAATTGCTGAGTCTCCCCTCAACATAGGCCTGGTTCACACGCCCACCCACAGGCTCAAGAATCTCTCCTAATATGTAAATTAAAACCTGTTTAATGTATTCAGGATTGGAACAACCGATATCATTAACACACAAATAATAATAGAGCAAATGAGTGAGTTCCAGTTAATTTTAAAACAAAAGACGAGCACCATTAAACTGATGAGTTAAATTCCCTGAACAAAGTCTTACCTGAGGGTCCGCAAATAAAAAACGGAACATTACATCAATTTTGCGCATTGCTGCGATATTTATATAGTCCATAAATCTACTGAGAGGAAGAGTTAGTGCCTTGGAAAAAAATATGGCTTGGAATATGTCACATATATACTTATTTATAAGTGAAATAGTAACTATAAGCAATAAGTCCTATATGTGCTGTCTTGTGCGAGAGCGGGTTGCAGTCTATAACCTTACGGGAATTTATATGTCAAAATGACATGTTTATTTCTGTATATTAAAAATAGGTTTATTCTCATTTAAATGTTAATATTAATGTATATTAAAGTTATATGTATAGTTAGGCCTTGAGTAGGTTATATGTTTAGGTTCTGTTGGCGATTATTTATATTTGAAGTGTGTGGGTCAAACATTAACAGATCTGCGATTGGAACAGAGGTCAATAATGGAGGTAATGGATTCACATCCAATATGTAATTAATACTATTATCTACACCCTATCCATGGTTATGTTAGGTTAAGGTTACGTTATGTTAAGGTTTGGTTGGGCTAGGTTTCATTACATTGATTAAATGAATACAGAGTATTATTAACTATAATGTGATAATATGGAATTCCAAAACTATTTGAATGTACCCAAGAATTTTGTTTACAGAAAACCAAATTCAATATTTTAGTGTGGCCGAGAATTTTGTTTACAGAAAACCAAATTCTTCAGACAGTTTCAAAGAAAACATGTTCCGAATATGTCTTTTATATTTTAAACCAACGATTTATAATACAATAAAATGATAACTTGAGAGTATTCTCTGTCTAGGACAAAGATTCACTTGCCAATTTACATGCAGACTACTACTGGAACCGCAATATGCTTCCAGACAATCATAATTATCTAGATAACTATCCATGTGGTCAGTAGGGAGGGGATTGGGGCTTGGGGCCAGATTCACGAAGCAGTTACACAAGTACTTACGAACCTGTACATCTTTCTTCAATCTTTGACGGCTTTGGTTACATTTATTAAACAGTTTACAAGCATGAAAACTTGCCAATCAACTGTTGTTATTGTTATAAACAGCCTCCTGGTGCTTCGGAGCTCATTAACTGTTTAATAATTGTAAACAAAACCTCCAAAGATTGAGAAAAGACATACAGGTTCCTAAGCGCTTGCGTAACTGCTTCGTGAATCTGGCCCTTGGTCTTGTAGTAATTGATTTGTTCTGAGAACGGGTTGCAGCATCAACATAAGCGATATGATTACTTAAGACTGATCGCTGAGAGGAAGAATTCGCCATCCCATAAAGAGGCTACAGTTTGAGAGCTAATTGAGACGAGTACCTTCGCAAGGACGCCATAAAAAGTGATGCTTGACAGGTAAGATGGACGGGGAGATGACCTTGACGGAACGAGGCGGTAATAGAGGTCGTTTTGGGTGTAAGATGGGCCACTTGACGGCCTTATTAAATGGCCATCCTTGGCCCGCAGCCACTCCTTCACATCCGGCTCCTCAACGCTTGGAACAAGGATCCCAGTATGTTGACCAGACCACACACTAGAAGGTGAAGGGACGACGACGTTTAGGTCCATCCTGGACCATTCTCAAGTCGATTGTGGTCTCGACTTCTCTCAAGTCTCACAATCGACTTGAGAATGGTCCAGGACGGACCGAAACGTCGTCGTCCCTTCACCTTCTAGAGTGTGGTCTGGTCAACATACTTCAGCCACGTTATTGTGACTCACCGCCTGCATAAGGACCCCTGGTTACTCATTGGAGCCCCGGGGAACTCACTGTGCTCCGAGGTACCCTAACCGGTGTTCCGCGAATGTTCACATATGTTAACCATAAACACATATATGTGCAGACTCGAATGCACACATTAATGTGGAGAGGAGACGGTGGCGTTTGTAAATCTTGTGGTTATTTTGCGATGATTTCGGGGCTTAGCGTCCCCGCGACCCGGTCCTCGACCAGGCCTC